ATCTAGTTTTTTTGTTATAATACTTGACATTAATACTGAATCATTTGGTATATGATTGATTAAAGACTAGAAAGAAAATAAAAGAAGTTTTATAAATTATGCAAAATACTCTTGAAAAATAATCGTTAAATATTCAATAAAACATTATTATCATTCCGTTGTTTTTTTTTCTTTCTTCCTTCTTTTATGTGACTAAGCCTATTGTAATTCAATGCAGAAGAGATAAGTTTGTTGAATTAACATCTCTGTCATAGAAATTTCTTTGCTTTTACAATGCCCAGAAGATTTGATAATTTGTGTTATATTAAAAACACTTCTATCGAATAATGAATTTTGTTCATTTGCTTCTAAAGGCTCAAAGAACATTCGGGTCATATCAAATGATAATAATTAATTATAAAAGAATACTGGATTCATTAATAAAGAATTTTTTTAATATGAATGTTCTACTCGTGTTAGGTACGTATGTAAAAAGAGAGCTTTGAAAATTAGACGAACATAGTGATGTTTTAATGAATTTTAATCCAGTTGGTTTTTTTTTCATTTTTATTTTTTGAAGAAATTTTTTTTTCCAACATTATAAACGTACAAAGTTTTTGTCTGATTATCAATTCTTCTCATAGCTAAGGTTAATATCAAAAAAGAATAAAAATCAAATTTCATAGGTAACGATGAAAATATTCATAGCTGGTTTCTGAGTTATTCTCCTCTATGAAAAATAGAATATAAAAAAAATAATTATTCTTCGTTAGCATAGAAAAAAACATATTCGCAATGGTCTATTACACGGTATTTAATACAGATATGAATATTTTGCATTAATAAAAAAAATAAAACAATACTCATGAGTGATGGTATATATTACTTGTTCAGCGAACTTTGCAATTCACTTTTTTCCTCTTCTATATGTATATGTTGCTCTCTGATTGTTGCATTTGTAACATTTCGTTCGCTGTCTTTTTAGGACTTAGCTTTTCTCTCTTTTGCATATAAATATAAGAAAGAAAGAGAACGATCAGAGTAGTCGAACGAGGGATCTATACTATTATCTAATAAGCATAAATAATAATTGAAACAACATGAATTTATATAGGTATATATATTTTTTTTTTATGATATGCTCCCCACCGTCATCCTCTAACCATAGAAGACTCTGGATTAACTATTTTATTTAAGCAGCTAAATGTTTTATGATATCTTCTATTACATTGCTCTATTTTAAGTGATAATAAATAAAAAGATTTCAAAGAAAATTGCAACAGTTTAGAGGATTTTATAAGATTAAAAAAGCAAAGAAATCTTTTTAACTTCAATCTTCATGATCTGCAACTGAGAATATTGAAAATTAGGCATACCTTCCGATTAAAGGTAGAATTTCTTATCTAATTGAATAATTACGAGATAATCATCTGTTTTGTTGGAAGCTTCGCTTCTTCAAAGAAACTTTCTATTGCAAAGACATCTTCTAATATTACAGATAAAGATATTCTATCATAAAAGGACAAGTTTATATGACAATTATTTATAATATGACACACGAGATGAAATAAAAGTTGAATGATGTTATTTATCTGTAATAGAAATTTAAAATATTTCTTTTTCAATTCAGTTCGATTGAAATTTAAAAAAACTATAAACCGTATCGATCTTCATGATTTAATCTCTTATAAGAGGAAGTTAGAAGGAAAACAATATGCTAATGATGATCTTTTTGCGTTATGTAATTGATATATTGAAAGTATTTATTGAATATTATTTGATGACAAGAATACTTACATGGATTTTTTTAACATCTTGACGATTACTATAAGAATATGGTTTTTTAAATATAAGACATCAGTTTATTGCTGATCTTTTTTTTATAAAAATACTTGCTGTTAAAGAAACCAAAAGTGACTGTTTTAGAGATACGATAGCATTCATCATCTCTTGAAAAAGTCATTTCTGATTCGCCTTTTTTTCTCTTTCTTTTTCTACAGTAACAAAACTATAAAGGTCTGCTTTTTTTTTTTCTTACAAACCGAAGAATGAAAAGAAAACGAGCTACTGTTGTCAATACTATATGTAGCGTGGTAGCAGTAGTCTAATGCTATGAATGCGCGAAGATTACAAATTTTAATTAATCATAAATAATAGATAACATCAGTAAAAAGAAGGAAAAAGAAAAATAAAATCAGACGGAAGAATAGAAAAAAAAATTCTTTTTTCATACATCTCAAAGGAATATTCATACTGAATGACTACTTAAAGAAACAAAATATATATATATTTATTTATCTATTTATTTTATCTTTACCAAAACTACATACTCAGTTTTTCTTACCTATTTATATTTTGTCCATCAAGTTATAATAACAACTGATACAATCTAAAGCAAAAAAAAGCATATTTTTTATGTTTCTATCATGAATCAATGTTACTTATTTCTTCTTTGATTAATATTTTAAAATAATAACCATATAAAGGGAATGATTATAGCATTTTCTTTTCATTGTCTTTCTCGCTCTTTTCATTCGGTGTTTTTTTTCTATGCGATGAAA